AGGGAAAGTTTACACACACACACACACACACCTTGGCTGCGGTCCAAACACGTAAAAGACACACCCTCCTCCACTTACCCTAGCCTTATCCCCTTGGGGGAATCCTCGTGGCCATCTTTGCCGTTGGTCCAAACCATTAACCAAACAAGGGAAGTTGGCAACGTAAACCCCTCAGCCCTCGTTTTTGATCGAGTGGGCGAGTGCACAATTCTGTTCACTCCGGGGGCTGAAACGCCCCATAATTCAATTTGCAATGATTGTACATCCGCTAAGAAAATCAGCCAAAACTTAAAACCAACATCAAGATGGAGAAGTCAACATACAAGTGTAGGTAAAAATGAATGTAAATAAGTTATAAATTGTGTTACTAATGCATATGATGGCACAAACATATGATGTTATTGTTTGGTTAGCTTTTGGAAATTGTAGAAATAACACATTTTCCTTCAGATGATCCAGCTAGGCAGGCTAACATCAGCTAGCTAGCTAGCTAGCTATCATACAGTATATTAATAATTATATAGCAAATTTAAGTAGACATATAATCAAATCAAATCAAAATGTATTTGTCACATGCACCGAATACATCAGGTGCATGTGACACCTTACCGTAAAATGCTTACTTACAAGCCCTTAACCAACAATGCAGTTCAAGAAATAGAGTTAAGACAATATTTACTAAATAAACTAAAGTAATTATAATTAGATAGCTATCTCAATTGGTACTGTCAAATTATCACCCAAGGTTAACTGTACTGTGTTCTGTGTACAACAGGGTCAGGCGAGGAGACCAAAACCCTCATTAATCTTCAAGCCGCAAATTAGGAGATGTTCACAGGGAAAAGGAACGCTGCAAAACTGGGCTGGGAGTAAGTGGAGGAACGGGATGGTAGTCAATACTGATGACAACAAATGAAACTTTTAACGTAATAACTTATAAGTAATGGATTAGCAGTAGCACTATAGTAAATGTATGATATTGGTCAACAATCTGGCATGTAAGGAAAATGGTGTTTGCCTTTCACACCAGCGACCCAGGTTCGCTTCCCTGCCCTGCCGTTTGCTACTTTGGTGTCTGAAGTGGGATGGTAGCCATGAGCCACATTACAATTCTCATCAAGTGGGTTAACCCTATTGGTGCGATTCGTAGGGTGTTTGCCTTTCACGCCAATCGACCCGGGTTCGCTTATCTGCCTCGAACTTCCCTAAAATATAATATTTGTGCTGTCAGTTGTTTGTTAATATGTATGAGTACTTAATATGTTGTTGGTTCACTTAATAAAATACTGAACCCAACTAAGATTCTCACTGTAAGTTACAATATTACATTTTAAATGTTATGCATGCTAACTTTAAAAATGCTCAAACAATATCATAATGACATTGTCTTGTTATTGACACCTCATGATGGGACTTGAAAAACCCTCCTACCAGAACAGGGACCGACCAGGCAGATGCCACTGCTGAGAACAGGAGGTGGTTTAAACTAATGCCCCAGGCCCTCCCCCCCAGGCCCTCCCCCCCAGGCCCATATTATTTTTTTTTCCATACTCAAAAAAAGCTTATTTCTCTCAAATTTGGTGCATAAATTTGTTTACATCCCTGTTAGTGAGCATTTCTCCTATTCCAAGATAATCCTTCCACCTGACAGGTGTGACATATCAAGAAGCTGATTAAACAGCATAATCATTACACAGGTCCAACTTGTGCTGGGGACAATAAAAGGCCACTCTAAAATGTGCAGTTTTGTCACACAACACAATGCCACAGATTTCTCAAGATTTGAGGGATCGTGCAATTGGCATGCTGACTGCAGGAATGTCCACCAGAGCTGTTGCCAGAGAATTTAATGTTAATTTCTCTACCATAAGCCGCCTCCAAAGTTGTTTTAGAGAATTTGGCAGTGCGTCCAACTGGCCTCACAACTGCAGACCACATGTAACCACATCAGCCCAGGACCTCCGCATCTGGCTTGTTCACCTGCGGGATCGTCTGAGACCAGCCACCGGACAGCTGATGAAACTGTGGATTTGTACAACCGAAGAATTTCTGACCAAACTGTCAGAAACAGTTTCAGGGAAGCTCATCTGCGTGCTCGTCGTCCTCACCAGGATCTTGACCTGACTGCAGTTCGGCGTCATAACCGACATCAATGGGCAAAGGCTCACATTCGATGGCCACTGGCACGCTGGAGAAGTGTGCTCTTCACAGATGAAGCCTTGTTTCAACTGTACCAGGCAAATGGCAGGCAGCGTGTATGGCGTCGTGTGGGCGAGCGGTTTGCTGATGTCAACGTTGTAAACAGAGTGCCCCATGGTGGCAGTGGGGTTATGGTATGGGCAGGCATAACTACAGACAACAAACACAATTGCATTTTATCGATGGCAATTTGAATGCACAGAGATACCGTGACGAGATCCTGAGGCCAATTGTTGTGCCATTCATCCTCCACCATCACATGTTTCAGCATGATAATGCATGGCTCCGTGTTGCAAGGATCCGTACACAATTTCTGGAAGCTGAAAATGTCACAGTTCTTCCATGGCAATCAACAGCCTGATCAACTCTATGCGAAGGAGATGTGTTGCGCTGCATGAGGCAAATGGTGTTCTCACCAGACACTGACTGGTTTTCTGATCCAAGCCCCTACATTATTTAATGGTATCTGTGACCAACAGATACATACAGTATATGTATTCCTATTCTTGTGAAATCCATAGATTAGAGCATAATGAATTTATTTAAATTGACTGATTTCCTTATATGAACTGTAACTCAGTAAAATATTTTAAATTGTTTGATGTTACGTTTATATGTTTCTTCAGTGTAGATGAATGCCATTATCAATCAAACAATCAATCAAATCAAATGTCACAAAGTGCTATACAGAAACCCAGCCTAAAACCCCAAACAGCAAGCAATGCAGATGTAGAATCATGGTGGCTAGGAAAAACTCCCTAGAAAGGCAGGAACCTAGGAAGAAACCTAGAGAGGAACGAGCCTCTGAGGGGTGGCCAGTCCTCTTCTGGCTGTGCCGGGTGGAGATTATAAGAGTACATTTGCCATTAAGGCCAGATTGTTCTTCAAGATGTTCAAACGTTCATAGATGACCAGCAGGGTCAAATAATAATCACAGTGATTGTAGAGGGTGCAACAGGTCAGTACCTCAGGAGTAAATGTTAGTTTTTCATAGCCGAGCATTCAGAGGTCGAGACAGCAGGTGCGGTAGAGAGAGAGAGTGGAAAACAGCAAGTCTGGGACAAGGTAGCACATCCGGTGATGCAGGGTTGTTCTGTTCATTCTTTTCTGTTTACTGTCCTGCAAATACACACACACACACACACACACACACACACACACACACACACACACACACACAAACACACACATACAATTGACTGTATACATATATGAAAATTATTTGTTATATATAATTGTTAATAACACGTTAAAGTGTTTTACATGAAGTCTGCTTGTCTGTGTGTACATAAAAAAAAAAAAACGTGTTTAACAACTAGGATAGTTACCTTATAGTTTCTGTAATTCATGTTTTGCATACTCTAAGTGCCCAAACAGTTTGGGGAAAGCCCTTTCCTGTTTCAGAATGACAATACCCCCATACACAAAGCGAGGTCCATACAGAAATGGTTTGTCAAGATCGGTATGGAAGAACTTGACTGGCCTGCACAGAGCCCTGACCTCAACCCAATTGAACAGCTTTGGGTTGAATTGGAACGCCGACTGCGAGCCAGGCCTAATCTCCCAACATCAGTGCCCGACCTCACTAATGCTCTTGTGGCTGAATGGAAGCAAGTACCCGCAGCAATGTTCCAACATCAAGTGGAAAGCCTTCCCAGAAGAGTGGAGGCTGTCATAGCAGCAAAGGGGGGACCAACTCCATATTAATGCCCATGATTAGTGTCCACATACAGGTGTCCACATACTTTTGGTCATGTAGTGCTACATGACCAAAAGTATGTGGACAAACCAATTCTGTATGGAACTCGCTTTGTGCACAGGGGCATTGTCATGCTGAAACAGGAAAGGGCTTTCGCCAAACTGTTGCCACAAAGTTGGAAGCACAGAGTCATCTAGAATGTCATTGTATGCTGTAGCATTATGATTTCCCTTCACTGGAACTAAGTGTCTAGCCCGAACCATGAAAAACAGCCCCAGACCATTATTCCTCCTCCACCAAACTTTACAGTTGGCACTATGCATTGGGGCAGGTAGCGTTCTCCTGGCAACCGCCAAACCCAGATTCGTCCGTGAATCGTGATTCATCACGCCAGAGAATGCGTTTCCACTGCTCAAGAGTCCAATGGCGGCAAGCTTTACACCACTCCAGCCGATGCGTGGCATTGCGCATGGTGATCTTAGGCTTGTGTGTGGCTGCTCGGCCATGGAAACCCATTTCATGAAGCTCCCGACGAACAGTCCTTGTGCTGACGTTGCTTCCAGAGGCAGTTTGGAACTCGGTAGTGAGTGTTGCAACCGAGGACAGACAGTTTCTATGCGGTACACGCTTCAGCACTCAGTGGTCCCGTTCTGTGAGCTTGTGTGGCCTACCACATTTACATTTAAGTCATTTAGCAGACGCTCTTATCCAGAGCGACTTACAAATTACACCACAGGTAATGTCCTACAAGTGGCTAATACACCTCAAACTGAGACTCAGTGTATGACATTGCTACGAGCAACAGGATGAACCGCGGTGCAAGACTTTGCTGCCACAAAAAAAATGTGCATGTGCACTTCACGCTGCTGCAGCGTGATAGCTGCGGGACAAAAAAAAGCTGAAATTTTTTGCCTTACTCTTAGTTGTTGCAGAAAACGTCCTGATGTACTTGGTACATTGCTGACTCTATCTTTACACATAATTGATTTAGAAATCAGTTGGAAAGAAAACCTGCATGGCCATGGGTACTTTGAGACTAGGATTGGGAAAACATCAGTATACTGCCCTGTTCCAGTGTGGTGGGTATTGACAACTTCTACCCTCATGCCAACCACTCAAATTCTCCCCCACCTCCTACAAAACCCCATACTTCCACAACCACCCTTCCCCGATCCCCTGACCCAGGCTGGGTGGTGGGTCTACGGTGGGGACGTGGAGTCTCCAGTGGCGGGTCCGTCCTGTCCCGTGATATGGTGGAGGACCTGGAGCAGTCATCACTGATGGAGGCTAGCAAGGGGGCGCTGTGTGAGGAGAAGGCTAGGCTGGAGACCCTACGGCTGTGGGTGCTCTGCATCTGGGCAGGCTCTGTGCCCTGAAAGTCTTTCAGAGTCACGGGTCCTAGCTCGTCACTGTAGGCGATTGTGGTCCTGTGGTGGGGATGCCAGGCCACTGAGGTAGGGCAACAGCTGGGCTCTACCTCTAATCTAGAGGCTGGTTTGGTGGGTTTCCTCCTGTCCCAAAGCAACAGACGGCCATCCTGGCCACATGAGAGGAAGAGGGAGTCATCGGATGGATTGCAGGACACACAAGTGACTGGCTTAGAGTGAGCGTTATGTGTGCTGACCACCTCCCCCTGACTAAGGTCCCAGACTTTGATTCGGCAGTCCATACTGCTGCTGACGGCGTGGTTTGACCCAGCAGGGCTCACGCTGGTGACGATGTGATCATGCTCGAGTTTAGTGAACCGATTCACCAGCAGACTATCGTCCTCCGCTAGCTCCCACAGCTCAACAGCACCCGAGTCAGATGCAACTAGGATGCCCCTCTCTGAAACCCACTTTGCCTTTGTGACCCCAGCCTCTGTCTGCACACCAGCCTTGCAGAAACCCTCGTTGGGAGACTGCTTGGGGTCACTGTAGACCCAGATGAACCCAGCCAGCATCTGCCCGTCAGACTGGAGGCCCCCAGCAACAGGCTGCCATCTGCCCTGTACTGCGCCGAGTCCAAATGCTTCTCCATGCACGCCGGGGCATTTGGGGGTATGTTCCATCTGTTTTCCTTGATCATATTGGTATTTACTGTACTTTTCATCCAGGCAACTCTGAGTCTGATTCACTCAAGCTAGTGTAGCTAAGTGTTTGCAATGCAAATTATTTTATCCTTTATACAATAAATGTTTTAACTTTAACTAGATAGTCTAGAAAACACAGACTAATAAACTAGCTACCAGATTTAGGTTAGCCTAGGTTTTTAACTTCTATTCTTGAATTATATTATTTTTCATTGCTCCATTGTTCATGCCAGAAATGAATGAACTCAAACAGCACACCACACCACTTCGCGGCTGAGCCGTTGTTGCTCCTAGACATTCCCACGTTCCCACAATAACAGCACTTACGGTTGACCGGGGCAGCTCTAGCAGGGCAGAAATGTGCCAAACTGACTTGTTGGAAAGGTGGCATCCTATGACGGTGTCACATTGAAAGTCACTGAGCTCTTCAGTAAGGCCATTCTGCTGCCAGTATTTGTCTATGGAGATTGCATGGCGGTGTGCTCGGTTTTATGCACCTGTCAGCAACGGGTGTGGCTGAAATAGTCGAATCCACTAATTTGAAGGTGTGTCCATATACTTTTGTACATATACTGTATCTCCCTCCTCAGTACCTTTAGAGCTGTCAGTGTAGACAGGCTGGATCCTGTAGATGGGCTGGGATCCTGTAGACAGACTGGGATCCTGTAGACGGGCTGGGATCCTGTAGACGGGCTGGGATCCTGTAGACGGGCTGGGATTCTGTAGACGGGCCGGGATCCTGATGGATGTCCCTCCTTCCTCCATTGTCTTTTGAAGCATTTGGAGGCTCTGCCTGGGCCTTAGCCACAGTGATGATTACAGCCCCATCATTAGACAATTACTGACATCTGCTCTGTTCCACTGCTCTGTCTCATGTCCATTAGCCTGACTTAGAGGGAATAGAGTAGAGACCCCTTCTTGTTCAATGACAAACCTAATTGGGGATGTGGTTCCTTGTTCCTATGTACCCCTCCTCTCTCCACCGACTCCCCCTTTTTCTCCACTCTCAACCAATGTACCCATAATGACTTCTGTCCCACTTTCCCTCCAAATGTACACAAGTTTAATTCATCAACCATTCTAAAGCTTTCACTTACCAACACACAAAGAAAAGGCTTCACAAGTAAAAACAAGATGGTTTATATAGTACCGCAACACCTTTCGCAATGTATACAGTAAGAATAGGAAATGTAATACACATCATTACCCCATGGGTTAGTGTTACATTCAACTGTTGAATCCTTTCATGGTTTTTCACATCTCCATGTCTACGCATGCATTTTAAATTCACAATCACATTCTATAGTCTTGGGCATGACAGCATGCTTACATTATGTGATACAGTTTATGAGTCTTCACGTCAAGCTCCGTAGGCCAGGTGCATGCATCCACTCATGGCTTGGCTTGTTACATCAACTTATATTACAGGTAAACTTACTGGGAAGTGCTTTAGTTTCATACAATAACAAAAGCAACTAAGCAGCTAGTGGTCTGTTTATCTTCATCGAAAAGGAACGAAAGTTAACTAAAGTTAGTACAATGTGTGTTGGTTGTATCAGGAATTCCCTTTATTGGACTGTCCAATGGTATGCACATCCTGTTAGTTACACACCTAAATAATCTTCCTTTTCTCCTTTCTCTTCATGTTAGGAGGGTAAAGTTATAGGACTATGGTAGTACTGTGTGGTAGTAGTGTGTAATTGATAATACTTTGTGGCTATGTGTAGTGGTGTTGGTAGTACTGTGGTAGAACTGTATGGCTATGTGTTGTGGTGTTGGTAGTACTGTGGTAGAACTGTATGGCTATGTGTTGTGGTGTTGGCAGTACTGTGGTATAACTGTATGGCTATGTGTTGTGGTGTTGGTAGTACTGTGGTAGAACTGTATGGCTATGTGTGGTGGTGGTGTGTGTCCTGTACTCAGAACCAGAACTCGGAGACGAAGATGTGGACGCTGACGATGTTCCGATGAGACACCACCCCAGAGGTGACGTAGTTCATAGCCAGCTTCAACACCATGTTCAGCGGGCCAATCAGAGGCTTCACTTGTCGGACAACACCTAAGGGAGACAGAGGGATAGTCAGAGAGAGAAGGGTACCAAAGGTATTGAAGGAGGGTGTAAAGAATGATGACTGACCATCAAGTTAGAATGATAAAACTATTTTATTTAGCTAGCAGTAGCCCTTACAGGGGGTAGGAAACCTTTTATGGGGGGTAGGAAACTTTTTACAGGGGGTAGGAAACCTTTTACAGTGAGTAGAAAACCTTTTACAGGGAGTAGGAAATATTTTACATGGGGTAGGAAATATTTTACAGGGTGTAGGAAACCTTTTATAGGGTGTGGGAAACCTTTTACAGGGAGTAGAAAACATTTTACAGGGGGTAGGAAACATTTTACAGGGAGTGGGAAACCTTTTACAGGGGGTAGGAAACAGGGATGGAATTTTAGGATTTTTGGCACTGGCCAGCCGGGCTCATAGACCATGATTTCTACTAACACGGGTGACATTCAGGTCCAAAATCTGTGCCAAGCGATGTTTGAAAAAACCTGTCGGGGTAGTTTGACAAATTTTGTGTTTAATTTCCATCCCTGCATGTGCAGCCTTTGATGTTATTGATCATAAATAGTTATTGAAGAAACTCACTTGCTATGGATTTACATCACCTGCCATCACATGGTTGGAGAGTTATTTATCCAATAGAACCCAGAGAGTGTTCTTCAATGGAAGCTTCCCTAACATCAGATATGTACAGTGTGGTGTCCTTCAGGGCAGTTGCCTTGGGCCGTTACTCTTCTCTGTTTTTACAAATTATTTGCCACTGATCTTACACAAAGCTAGAATGACTATGTATGCGAATGATTCCACACTCAACATATCAACACCCAAAGCCAGTGAGCTCAGTGAAATTCTAAATAAGGAGTTACAGTCAGTATCAGAATGTGTGATTAATAACAAACCGGTCTTAAATACATCTAAAATTAAAAGCAGTGTATTTGGTTCAAAACATTCTGTAAGACCTAAACCTCAGCTGGAGATGTGTTTAAAGGGTGTGACCATTGAGCAAGTTGATGAAGCTAAACTCCTAGGTATACAGTGCATTCGGAAAGTATTCAGAACCCTTGACTTTTTCAACATTTTGTTACGTTACAGCCTTATTCTAATATGGATGAAATTCATGTTTTTCCTCATTAATCTACACACAATACCCAATAATTAGAAACTGAAAACAGGTTTTTAGAAATGTATGCCAATTTATTAAAAATAAAAAACAGAAATACCTTATTTACATAAGTATTCAGACCCTTTGCCATGAGACTCGAAATTGAGCTCAGGTGTATCCTGTTTCCATTGATCATCATTGAGATGTTTCTACAACTTGATTGGAGTCCACCTGTTGTAAATTCAATTGATTGGACATGATTTGGAAAGGCACACACCTGTCTATATAAGCCCCCACAGTTGACAGTGCATGTCCAAGACAGGATTGTGTCGAGGCACAGATCTGGGGAAGGGTACCAAAACATGTCTGCAGCCTTGAAGGTCCCCAAGAACACAGTGGCCTCCATCATTCTTAAATGGAAGAAGTTTGGAACCACCAAGACTCTTCCTAGAGCTGGCCACCTGGCCAAACTGAGCAGTCGGGGGAGAAGGGCCTTGGTCAGTGAGGTGACCAAGAACCCGATGGTCAGTCTGACAGAGCTCCAGAGTTCCTCTGTGGAGATGGGAGAACCTTTCAGAAGGACAACCATCTCTGCAGCACTCCACCAGTCAGGCCTTTATGGTAGAGTGGCCAGATGGAAGCCACTCCTCAGGAAAAGGCACATGACAGCCTGCTTGGAGTTTGCCAAAAGGCACCTAAAGGACTCTCAGACCATGAGAAACAGGATTCTCTGGTCTGATGAAACCAAGATTGAACTCTTTGGCCTGAATGCCAAGCGTCACGTCTGGAGGAAACCTGGCACCATCCCTACGGTGAAGCATGGTGGTGACAGCATCATGCTGTGGGGATGTTTTTCAGCGGCAGGGACTGGGAGACTAGTCAGGATCGAGGGAAAGATGAACGGAGCAATGTACAGAAAGATCCTTGATGAAAACCTGCTCCAGAGTGCTCAGGACTTCAGAATGGGGCAGAGGTTCACCTTCCAACAGGACAACGACCCTAAGCACACAGCCAAGGCAACGCAGGAGTGGCTTTGGGACAAGTCTCTGAATGTCCTTGAGTGGCCTAGCCAGCGCCCAGACTTGAACCCGATCGAACATGTCTGGAGAGACCTGAAAATAGCTGTGCAGCAACGCTCCCCATCCAACCTGACAGAGTTTGAGAGGATCTGCAGAGAATAATGGGGGAAGCTCCCCAAATACAGGTGTGCCAAGCTTGTAGCGTCATACCCAAGAAGACTCAAGAAGCTGCAGCTGGCTCAACACAGAGCAGCAAGCCTTGCCCTTAACTGCACGTACAGAACTAACATCAACAACATGCATGCCAGTCTTTCCTGGTTTAGGGTTGATGAGAGATTAATTGCTTCTCTTCTAGTTTTTATGACACACAGACACACTCTAACACACACATTATGTTTTAAGTTGTTTGTATATCGTTGTATTCTAAATTAGTGTGGCTGTCCTTGTCTATCAGTGTATCAGTGTTTTGTTACTTGTCATGTTGTGTGTTTTATTTGTGGACTCCAGGAAGAATAGCTGCTGCTTTGGCAAAAGCTAATGGGGATCCCAATAAACCAATGAACCAAAAAACCTCATATGATGACAGGAATGTCAAACCTCTTCATGTGAATCTGGCTTTAAATTCTCTCCTCCATCCTTCTCTTCCTCCATCCATCCACCCATCCCCACCTTCCTCCCTCCACCCTCCCCTGGAGGACGGGAGAGAGCGCAAGAGACTCTCCTATCACGGTAACAACATGGGGAAAACACACCACGACCGCTGCAGACTGAGACCCAAGAATGACCGAATGCACATGG